ACTAATGAGAGTACGGGGTGCTAGACGTAAAACTTACTGATCAGGGTAGGGGAGGGAGTGATGTCGATAAAATTAGCCAATCGGGAGGACGGGGGTGTCATAGTGGTGGATCAGTCGGCCATGTTTAAAAAGTTCCATATTTTGCTGTGGCCCTATGCTGCAGCCTAGTATAGCCTATACCATAATGCACCCCTGGATTTTTGCATATGTTCCTTTGATTGCGTTCTCTCCACATCTGTTCACAATTTCCCTACCACTCTAGAGGGACAGTGCCAAAAACATGGGAACTGTAATGCTAGTCTTGTATGTTTACACCCTTCTTCTGTTAGGCTACTTTGCGCAAAATGTCTTGGCAGTGATACCAGCAGTACCACTAGACTCCAGGGTGAACAGCAAGCTGGGCAGCATGAAGGTTCAAAGTAGGAATAGTCCATTACAGTTGGAATGGGGGGGCAACTTTGTTTATCCCGAAAACTGTCACGATGCATGCAAATCAGACATGTTGCTATAATTAAAATTATCATGTTATCATACATGCACAAATGTCAATTCTGGAAATTCTATCTCCAAGGGGCGCCTAATTTTCTGGTCTCCAAACAGCTGCTCGATCTTGCCTTACAGTAAGTCCGCCCCACATAAAACGCTACAGTCGCATTAACTTCAACATCAATTGCCCCGCGGCTGGTGTGTAAATCTTACCTTGAGCCTCTATTCCAAAGCACATCAGTCCACACATCAACACAGCGAGTCTTTGGTCCATGCTGACGAAGCGAGCTTACAACATCGTATCGATTAGCCGGCCATGAAGGATCCCACTCTACAGCATGAGCAAATCCGACCCTGTCGCATAATGCTAACGAAATGTGTCTTAGTGCAAATGTCTGCCGGCTGAAATGAACCTTGCTTTGCTCTGCACACATTTAGCATCGAGTTCATCAGTGTGGTTTCGCAAACACTTCCTCAAATTATAGAATGTACAAGGAAGTGGAAGATACACGAGTATCTGACACGGGAAACCAGCGATGGCACCACGATCCACCGCAGGGCGCACACTCATACGCTACGTGCAATTTAGAGACATCAGTTACACTAGCTACACATTTTTGGTTTGCAGGATGACACATACGGAGTCAGACGTGAACTCAAACAGATTCTCGCATCTGAAGTCGTGAGGCCTCCATGCAACGGCACAGAATTATCAGTGAAGGACATTTACACAAAAACAAACACCTCAGTCGGCTAGAGACACTGTTTAAAAGCAAAGACCATCACATGCGCCTTTCTGTTTTAGTCAATACATTTATAATTCATGTTTTTTATTTACAGGAGGCTCCAAAACTCATCTTTCGCATTGTCACTCCTTTGTTTTCACCAGAATAAAAAAAAAACAATAAAAATGATGAGGACAGCAACACAGCTCAGTTTACATGTCAGATTTATAACGATGCCTTTGTAAAATGGGTAAATGCTCAGTCCGTCTTTGTCCATTTGGCTCTGCCTCAATGCTGCCACTTGTTTCACTCGAAAATATCTTTTTTGTTTCCCATCAGGTAGATAATAAACTATAAAAGTTTAAGCCCGTATGCAGGGCGCTCCTGTGCTCTGCGGAAAGCCGTGAAATGGAACCGCTGAAGGTAACCAGGCACTTGTGCACAAACAAGGAATACCGACAGGCATTCCTACATTACACATGCCCACGGAAAAACTCCCGTCTGCGGAATCTCCGTTTTCTGAAGCCTGAGGCAATGTGACACACGTCTGGTGAACAAGACCTAAATGATATTTCTTTTGTGCCCTATAAAATTTCAAATTGAGATAAGATTCAAATCTAAAACGCTTTCACGGCGATAAAGAAAATTATAATGACAATAGCAAAACTTAATAATGATAATAACAGTCCATTAATACACTGGCCCATTTCCTTCAAACAGTTGGCCCCTTGCTGTTCCCTCCTGCTTACTCACAATGTCCTTGTCTCCAGCCTTCGCTATGAATTCCTATGCACTTAGGATTTAAAAAGGAAAGATTAAAAAAACCATAATGATTAGAATGAAAGGTGAAACAGCCCCACTTTCCTTTTTCTCGGCATATTCAATACAATGTCTTTCCATCTTAATGGTCTCAGTCTGAGGGTTTGGTTCATTTTTTTTTTCTCCGTCCAGTCCCTTTGCATCCCCTCACTTATCTTCTTTGATTAATCCACCTTTTTATTTTTTGTCCAAACTGAAGACAGAAAAATCATTTCAAAAAGTTTTTTTTTTTGTTTTTCCTTTATAAAAATGTATTTTCTTGTTCGGCAGAACTAAAATAAAATCCCATTTTCTTCATTTTCCCCCATCCGTGTCTCGGCTTCATCCCTTCATCTTTTTCCAGTTGACCTAAAACAGAACAGTCTGCTTAGAGCTCTTGCGTTCCAAGTCAAGCGGTCAGTTTGGACATGCAGCTATAGGAGCAGCGACATCGACACGTAGTCACACAGCACCAGGGACAATCTGACAGGTGAAGCTACTCAGTGCAGTGCTGCAGTCTCAGTCTAATCGCGACTCACCGATCCCAGATGGTCATACGTTTCCCCATCATTGATGCCCTCAGCCTCTCCCCAATTGATCTGGATCCACAACCTTAGCTGGTTTACTGTTCTGAGGGAACTGCAGGACAACAGATGGAAGACAGCATTGATGCCACTGCTTGAGCGCAGTGCCGATCTGGGGAATTGGTTAAAAACAGCTCCGACTCCAGGGCATGTCGCATGTGAAGGCAATTGGATTTCGCTATTTTGTCAACAGTATGGGGACAGAGTATAAGCACAAGTCACGGCAGCCAGGCCTTCGTTTAACCAAACTGAAGGAAATCCACCCCAAAAGTAATAACGGCTATAGAAGGACCTGTGATGTATGGAAGGGCATCACTGGTGGCCACATTTAGAGCCCTGAGCAAGGTAACGGGCAGCTTCACATTGCCAGCTGCCTGCAGTGACTAAGGTACCACTCTCCAAATGAGTGCTAACACTTTAGCAAGGCGCCCTACGATGCTGCAGCTGACCCACTGAGTGTAAAATGGAAACAGACCAGGGCGACGGCGGGTGTGAGCGGGAGGTGTGCATTACTGTTCTGAAAGAAAAGGTGAGGGAAGTGTGTGTTGGGGGGGGGGGAGCAGGGAAAGCCTCCTGGACGTCTTAATATAAATCTGGTGATAATTTGCGGTCTGCAGACTGATGTAAACACTTGAAGTAGTGTGGCGTTCTGTCTCTCACCACTCAAGTTTAGTGTTGCTGGTACATCTTTGAAGCAGATTGTAGTTAGTATTAAAATCAAACCCTGACTGACAGTTTGGCCTGTTGTGTCAGTCCAGCAATGGGCTACAGATTTAGCTACAGATTTAATGCATTTAATGCATGATATGTATACACGCAGCAAATATCTGCCAACTCCACAAATGTATTATGCACATTTTTCTTACACAGTTTATGCCAAGAAGTTAGTTGTATTCTCACCTTGTGCTTTGGACACCGTAGTGAGAAGTTGTCTTCATTCAGAGAGCAGTCTTTGGGTATAAAGAAAGATTGTGGGAATATGCATATTAATATATGAATTTATGCTTATTAATACACATAAGTCTCATATACTGTGAGGCTATAGTACTTACACAAACACATGCAGTAAACAGATAAGTTTATGCAAGGACATATTCTGCCTACAGATAAATCCCCCAGTAATTATTTTTTGTCCTCTGTAAGTGACATTATGGTTTTGCTCTTATCTCTTACACTACGCATACCACTCTACTAAATCCCATTATTCCTTAAAGACGAGAGTCTTGTCTTTAAGATGACATCACATGTGAGGGGGGTGTTATTTTTCCTATCTCCTTAATTGATGCAGAAAGAAATCAAAATGGGAAAAACCTTTTCCCCTTGATCTCAGGAGAACATGCAATACTTGGACTAACGCGTGCAACCATATGTATTAACTGGAAACAAAAACAAGCATTAATGGGCTCATGTAGGCCTACAGTACATTTGGCACATTTGTTGGTGTCCAAACATGGACACTTGTAGACATCCTGATGTTACACGCAGTCAGTAATGCAAAAAATGCAGAAAAGTTCCAATTGTGAGCTCTGACCTGCCTCTATGGCACACAGGTAGTGATATCGCAGAGTGCAGCCTTTGCTGTAGCAGCCAAGGGTTGAACCCACCATCTCGCAGTAAGAGCAGCACTACCAGAGAAAAGGGGAAGGTTTCTGTTACAACACACACTTCCACTGTTAAGCTAAACTAAATGACAGCAAACACTTTAAAAATAGGAAGAAGTCCTGTACATTGTACTTCTCTCTATTGCATTACCAGGGTCCAAACTGCATGACCAGTGTTAAATATAAAATGAATGTGATTTCCTTCACACAGCTGGTAATACAGTCCTTATAATACCTTATGTTGCGTCACATTAAGAATAAGATTTCGCAGAACTGTAGCAGCAATTTCAATTAGCTTGACCTCTTAAAATGTCACCCGATCTTCACTGAAGTCATAATAATAAAGTCTTACTTAACAAACACGGCATACAATATTTTATATTTCCACATTGTTGTTGACCAAATTGTTTAAACAGTGAAGGTCACAGATGGAAAGAATGTGCAGTGGTTAAGAAGCACTTTGGTCAGTTCCTCTATAAAAACTGCATCAATTCATGTAAATTGTTTCCCGTTTAATCCTGTTTTGGTTCATAGTCTGGTTGGACGGCCAATCTTCTTTTGAGTTGCAAATCACAGACAGATGCCCTAACACTCAGATGCTGTATTCTCTGATACAACTTTCTTCATTGATTTCAAGATCTCCAAGCACCAATGCAGCAAAACAGGCCAATCATTACACTTCCTCCACCATACTTCACAGTTGGGACAAGGTTGGTTTTGAAATGTTTTGTTTCCTCCAAGAATGTGTACATATACTAGTTCAGTTTAGTCAATTTTTTTCATAGAAAATCAATCCAGTAGTGTTGCAGAACATTCACGTTGTCTTTAGCAAACTTGGGTGATATTAATATGGATTCACCTGGGTCATATTACACTTGAACAGAATGCTTTGTGGTCTAACCCACCGCAAAATTGTTTGGAACATCTGATTCCAATTACAATTCCAATGTTAAAATCATTTGCTCAACAAAGATGACGTAAAATAGAAAATTTACACCCATGATGTCATGTCATGTCAATGCTGTCATATTTTCAACAATTTCAATGTTAACAGACTAAAAGAGTGATTTTGATCTATGTACAACTTAGCATCAAACTTAAGTACTACAGCTGAATAAATGAGGCCCTAAAATAATAAAACAAATAATACATAGTGATAAATAAAAATGTAAGTATGGATAAACAAGTTCCAAAATAAACATCTGTTTGAAAAAGAAAGTCACACATAAAGTCTAGTTAAATGAAAGATAAGGATAATAGTGGAGCAGAAACTCACCATATCTCTTGCACCATCTAGTGCCTCCTGTAGCCCGTAGAGCCTCCCATTGACCAAAAATACTCCACTGGCCCAGACTATGCAGCTCTCATGTACCCACAGCTCTTCAGGATCTAAGGGTACCTGAGGAAGCACGGCCAAAGCTGCTGAAAGATCAGAGGCGCCCTGCTTAAGAAGTTGCAGAGGTGGAGGAGGCTGGAAGGGCAACAAGGCTTTATTGTTGGTCGGTCCAGTTTTGCGCAAGTCCTCATTTGATTTATGTCGCCGTTTGAAACGTGGGTGAGAGGTCAGTTTCCTGTGTTGTGGCCTCTTCTGGGAATCCTCTGTTTGTGATTGTTGATTTGTTAACTGTTGATCACAGTTATTTAGCTCCTCCAATGGTTTCAACTCTACAGCCATGGTGTTCTTTTCAGACACCAAGTCCTGGTTATTCGGTAAAGTGACATTGTTCCCATTATCATCCATGTCGCACTGTACATCCAATTCATCTAGTACAGATGTTGTGTCTGCTACAGTGGCGGTGAGGTGAAGGTCAGTAGCTTGATCTCCTGCTAAATTGCTACTTATTTGGGATGTATGGGGTTGGATTGCCACTTCGGGGTTCTCTTGTTTGGTTGACTCAGCTGTGATGGATCCTAAATTTGCCTCTGGACTGCTTAGCCTGACTGTTCCTTGACTTTGCCTTGTGACTGGAGGATTTTTAGGAAGTTTTGTTAAATAATCAGGAGGATAGTAGGGTCCATAGAGGTCACCCAGATCTTTGTAGTTAGCCCACTTTTTGCACAAGCAGCAAAGGAGATGGCCACGTGTGCTTGACTCACTCATCGCGGGTCCTGAGAGAACATACCCAGATGAAGGAAGCGCCTTACCAGTCGTGCTAGACTGAATAAGAGCTATCTCTACATTTTCTAACGTTTTCTTCTCTTTAACTTTACTCTTCTCCCCGTCTCTCTTGACTAGTGAAGAAAGGGTTGAATTGGGAGGAGCAGCACATACTCCTTCCTTCGCTGTGCATCTCCCTCCTCCATCATCTGCAGTACTCTCTAACTTTTTCTTTTCATCTTCCCAGTTTACTATAGTGCACACGTTCCCCATCTCCAGCTTACTCTCTACATGAATGTAAGGAGCAAAAGCTGACTTATTGTAACCATGGAAAATGCCCCCACTCCGAATTTCACCAAGCCCACCATAAATATCCTCCCTATCTGCCCGTCTCTGCTTGCAGGGCTTCACATTAAACTCTTCTTTCGTCTCTTCAGCCTCAACAACTTCATTTCCCGTCTGAGATGTATTACTGGGAGAGACAGAGGTAGTCGGCACGTTCTCGGTTTGCGGAGAGTCTGCAGGAATTATATTTATAGTGTTACAACTCTGTGCCTCTACAGGAGCTGTAGCAGCAGGAACAGGCGTCGATGTCTCTGAACTGGGGAGAATGGTAACAGGTGAACTCTGAGGCTGGGATTGAATTCTCTTTTGCTTATTCACACTACCAACAGGTCGTCCCCTTTTTTTCCCAGATGGAAAATAGCCTTTAGGCACTGCATTGTCATTCTTAGGTTCTATAAATTGTGAGCCTGTCATAATGTTCCTAGGAGAAGAGAGTTGATGATGGTGCGGCATTTGGATATGTGGCGGATTAGTCAGTAGGCAGTGCCCTAGACTCTGGTTATGATGTGATGACTTGGTATCAAGGAAGTCCCTTCCTGGATAATTATCCGTACCCATTCCCATCTCACCTTCCTGAAGTTTTTGTCTCAAAAGCATGGCTGCTGTGTGTTCACCTCGTCGGGTTTCCAGTTGTTGATAAGTAGCTGTAAAGTTTTGAATGTCAGATAATCCAGAAGATAAAGGAGGTGGAGAACCCTGTACAGGGCATGGTAAAGGTGGGGGTGGAGGTAACGGTCCTAAGAGAGGGAAATCGGGAGGCACCTGCAAATCATCCTTGTCCTTCTCTCCTGCACAGTCATTATCTACTTTAGGATGTCCTGACGCCCCTACTCCAAAGTCTAACTCTGGCTCCAGGTCTCTGACAATACCCATGGCTATGTTCCCCATCATATCACATTTGAGGATGCATTGATCCTGGTTAGGGTCACAAGGGTAGGCAGCGGGAGGTGGAGGGCCTGTATGTACGATATGATGTCGTCTAAAGAGAGACCCTCGCTCAGGTATGTCAGGCAATTCTCAGACTCAGCTCCAGCTCTTATAAAAACTCCATCTGTAGAGTCATGGTCATGGGTATCAGGGCCATAAGAAGGTATTTCTGTCAGAGACAAATGATTTGATACTGAATCCATACTGATATTACTATGAGTATTAGCTGTTTTTTTAAGAGTGGGGGTAATTTTCTGCACTATTGCCTCCAGTTTCAGACCCCTGCTTTTCCTGGGTGGAAGAATTTTTGTTTTAACAAAAGAAGATGGAGATTTTGGAGAATCACTTTGAGGAGGTGTGGTGGAATGTGTTTTCTGATTGGTCAGATTATAGAGAGCTGCATTTGGACTAGAGAGACCAGAAGAAACATGTCTGGTTGCAGAACTGAGTACAATATTGGAGTGTTGACTAGGGGTCCCTGGCTGCTGCTGAGACACATCCTGGTGCTGTCGTTTTGCAGGAATTGGGGAGATAAAAGAACGAACCCTTCTTCTCATCATTAATGGATTTGTATCTCCAGAGCTCCCTGTTCTGGCTTTACCATGAGTCGTTATATTAATGCCTTTACTACTACTGCCTCCTTTATCAGACGCTCCATGAAGTGATTTTAAAATATTTTGTGATTCTACTCTGGAGGGATTTGACTCTAATTGTTTTGTCTCTGTTGGTGGGGCCAGAGGTAGAACTGACGGAGGAGGTTGCTGTTGTCTTTGAATATTTTCTTCTTCCCTTTTTCCTTCTTTCTCTTTTTCAGATGTTTGGTCCTGCATTTTCTCGCAAAAGCTTCCATGGGGAGATGTCTTTGGTAGTTGCCGCTGATCGGTAGCTAGATGGCTTTGTTGTTGGCCAGAACCTGGAAACGTCGCGTCTTTAGAAGAATTCTGAATATTGTTTGGAGCCGCCCAGCCATCTGAACTACGAGAAGATCGGAGAGAACTGGAATTGGACTGAAGATACATCTGTAACTTGTCAGCAGACTGTGGGTTTTGTGCTTGAGAAAGAGAAGGAAAATTATGATGCGGGGAAAGGTGGTGTGGATGTTGAAGAGTTTTGTTAGTCTCCTTTCTTCTGTCTTTAAACCCAAATCCACCAGTCACAGCAGAATGGTTGGATTCCTCTGATCCTTCAAAGTAGGACTGGAACCTTGATGAGGCTGGTGATGAATGAGTGTTCGAGTGTGAATGTGGAGGATGGTGGGGCTGATAAGGGGTTAATTTTTCTGAATTAACTCTTCCATCCTTAAATGGCTTTTTGTCCTGTGGTTGATGGGATGCATTGTCATGTTCAGAGACATTTTCATTAGCGGGAGAATCATTTTTAACTGATGTTTCAAGATGATGGGCTTTTTTAATATCCTGCTGTTTTTCCTCTAGCTCCATTTCCCTTTTTACGCCCTGCCCGTTACTAGTGCTCCCTTTATCTACTGTTGCAGAGAACGTGACTGATTGCTGAATGACAGAAGTTCCTTTGCACTCACTTTGTGACTCACAATTACTTCTCTCTCCTTTCACTCCATCAAGTTCTCTATCAGGAGTAGCAAGACAAGATGGTGAAATGTCACAGATAACTGAACGGCGCTCAGACAGTGACGTGTTCTGAGGCTGTCCCACTGTTATTCCACTGTGGCGTATTTGGTCAGTCTCCTGCAGTAGCAGCTGCTGTACTGCAGAAGAGGGGCTTGAATGGTTTGAAGAAAGTTTCCTGGAAGGTAGGGAGTAGTCGGCCAAATTGATGTGTCTGGAATGAGGCAGTATTGAAAGGTCAGCAGACAGTGGCATGGTTGAGGTAGAGTGACTTGGAGATTCCACTTTGCACTTATCTAAATGATTCCATTGTGCTCTTTTTGTTCCAACTCCTACAGTACCCCATGAACAGACAGGGGGGTCCTGCCCTATGCAAACCTCACTTTCATGTCTCTCCTTAAGAGGGTACAGTTTTTCATAGGCTGATGTTTGAGTCTGGATAAGATGGTTCATAGCCATCCTAGCTTGACTGGTCATGACATGAGGCCTTGTATGTTCCATCGTAGTTTGAGAATGTCTGTAATGGGAGTAGTTATGAGTAATAGATGCTTGGAATTGCTGAGCAATTCTTTCACTACGTCCATAATTTTTGTCTGTGTGGTAACCTTGGAGAACTTCTTGCAAGAGACTTGGAAATGGTTGCTGCAATTGAGCATTGCTATCTCTTCCCCTTTCAGTCACTGATCCTATGTCTTTCCTTCCATGGCCATCAATATCCAATGTCTTTCTTACTTCAGGGCTGTATTGACGCTGTGGTTGGCAGTAATCTTGAAATTGAAAATTCGGTCCCATTCCTACTTCACTCAACAAAGGTCGCCCACTGTTCTTCATCCCACTATTTTGTGGTGATTTAGAATAACCAAGCAGTGCCTTTTGAGTGTCAGAATGGGCATGAGAAGCTAACCAGTGCTCAACAGAGGATTTAGGGGAAACTTTTGCTCCGTGAGGGGAAGGGTTAGTAGTCAGATTACCCCTACTTTCTCCATTGTGGTTACTAGAATTTGTGAAGGAAAACTGAGAAGGAGTCTGTTGTTTAGAGTAAGAGCTATAACTTCCTGGGTTGTTAGGACAATCTGGCGTATAAGTTGGTTCGGACATGACAGCATTTGACTGTTCTTCCTGCTGCGTAATCTCTGACCGAGTTGAGACAATCACCCCTACACCTCCTGCAGTATGTGTTTCTGTAGAATTCTGTTTAACACCTGGTTCATTAGAACGTTCAAAATCTTTCAGTTTTTCTATTTCACCCTCCTTTTCTTTGGTGCATTCCTCAGTGTGACTTTCTTCTTCATTTTGTTTGGTTTTCCTTTTCTCTTTGCCATATTTTTCTCTTCCTTGACAAATATCACTATTATGTTTTCCCTCAGCTATTTTACTGCCCTTGTTTACTCCTTGCTCATTTTTATTGCTCAACTGTTCACAATCCATCACTTTAGGTTGAACGCAAGAAACACTGGACTTGGCTGATGAAATGATGGTCGGAGAGTGAGTTGAAGAAACTGAAAGAGAAGTTGAAGGAGGGTGCGTTGGAGAAAGGAACGCACTGTGCTGTACAGATGGACTAAGGTGAGAGGAAAATGAGGAAGATGAAGGAGCAGAAGAATCAGGAAGAGGTGAAACCTGACTACCTTCATTTTGGGACTTGACTTCTGCTTGGTTCTTTTGATTCTGTGGTGGGGGACAGCTACCAGTTGACTTAGTTTCACTCAAAGTTGTCATCTTCTCAGTTGGGGTTTCTGAAAGCTCCTCCCCATCACCACCATCATCTCTTGGGCTCTCCAGCGGCTGAGAGTCCTCATCTATTCCACATTCAGAATTGGTACCCCCACTATTTGGTCTTTTACTGGGCTCTGTCCTTATCGGTGCACCACAAGGAGCACTAACATCACTGTTTCTTTGCTGATCTGCAAGCATAGCATGCATTGGTTTTTGAATTTGATGCCCAGTATCTTTGTTTCTCTTGTCTGATAGCACAGAACCAGAAAGCATCACGTGTTGCACAGTATCCGGTAATTTAGCCACCTGTGAAGACAGAGCAATTAAACTGTTGGTCCCAGGGTCTAAGGTTAGCTTATCATGTGAGGAAGAGGAGTAGAAGGAAGAAGATGAATGTTCATCACTTCCCCCTCCTTTGGTTCCTACTCTGAGGCGTGTTTGAGAATGACTGCTACCTGTATTTGCATTCAGACCAGCAGTACTAATGTTACCACTGCTGCCACAACTACTGCTGTTGCTGTTAGAGCTGGGTGTAGGGCTCAGCTGAGACATCATCTGCAACAGACGATTGTGGCTGTTTCGAGATTTTTGTATAGGGGGATGTGACTGGGAGTGTGTAGGAGGTACAACAGAGCTGCCTGCTCCTTCTAAGACACCCATCAATGGTGAAGGTGATGAACTACAGCTGGGTGACTGCACAACAGAAGCAACTGGAGATGGATTGGAGATTGGGCTAAAGTTTTGATGGATTTGAGCCTGCTGAGTTTGGGAATGCATTGGAGATTTGGAAACGTCATGTGATGGGAACTGAGGCACAGACAGATTCATAGAGGAAGACTTTGAAGATGAAGGGTGTTTAGGGTACGGAAGCCCCGGCTGGTTTAACAAATTAGATGGGTGTGTTTTGAGAGTGTCATAACCTGGGCCTAAACTTTGCTGAGGGTGTCGATGAGGATGAACTGGGTGAGCTGGATGAGAATGAGATGACTGAGAGTTATATAAATAATCAGAAATTGGGTAACTCTGCCCTACACTGTCAAACAGTCCTGTATTATTGTGATTAGCTAAACCAAGGTTGTGACTTGAAGTAGCACTAGAAGAATTGTTACTTTTACTCTCAAAACTGCCACCACTTCTTCCACTCTGGTATCTTTGTGGCAGAGAGTTATAGACTCCGGCCGGACCTGTGGGTGCATTTGCGGGGTAGTGTGAGAAAGGAGGTGGGAATCGGTGTCCTGGGAGAGCATAACCCCTTTGAAGTTGCCCATGATGTAAAGTCTGATGAGAAGGATAATTTGGGGCTTGATGACGCAAGGGTATCTGAGGTCCTGCTGCAGTCTGGACAGGGGGGTTCTGACCCAGACTATATTGGTGGGAGGGAGAAAAGGCTCCAGCACCACTACTACCATTACTGTTGTTGCTACTACCACCAGATCCAGCGATTGCTCCATAGTCCATCTGATAGCGAGACATCCCAGAAGCAGAACCTGAGGTTCTCACAGGTCGGTACTGGTGAGGCACTTGTCCATCCATATTTGAAAAACCCAAACCTGTCCCATAACCTAATCCTTGGCCCCCTCTTCGGTGTCCTTCCTTACTTGTCGATGAATAATAATAATCCATCATGTCTTTCCGATAAGGGCTGTTGGTGCCGTTTCCACCACCATGTTTTGCATCACATGGCAAGGCTTCTCCACTGCCACCTCCTCTGCCTCGAGAACCATAACCCTGCATAAGGGCTGCTTGGCTGCTCTGGAGGGACATCATAGAGTGAGGATTGTGTTGCTGCTGTTGGACCCCCACATACTCCTCTGGCATTCTTGGGGAGTTCTGAGGACCTAATGGCTGGGCTAGGTAGGAAGAGGCCCCCCTGCCTCCATCAATCGCACTGGTGAACCCCAGATGTGGAGTAGGGGGAGCAGAACTCTCACGGAAACTTTGCATTTCCAAACCCCCTTTGTTGAATAAATTATAAGCAACTCTACTGTTTCTCGTGTCCGTTGCCAAAATTTAAAAACTGTAAGACACAACACTGTGGTGAGAGTACTCTGAGAACACTGCAGCCGTTTCCGTAGCCGTAACAGTACAAAAATGCTCAATTGTAATCACAGGCAAAATTTCAGTCACAAGCAGAAGAAGTCCGACTTTGTCGTAAATGCAGTTGAAGCCGGTGCAATTTTGGCAGTCATAGCAGCAATACTTGTAAGAATTAGTTTTAGCTGTAGCACATTGATCACTGGAGACCTAGCCAAGCAAGCTGCATTGCTGCAGTTTTTTTTTTTTTTTTAAATTGGTGTAGTAATAAAAAAATAGTATGTTAACTTTGTATTTGCAAAGTTAAACAAAAGTAGAAGTTGCATTTGTGGCTACACAAATTTAAGTTACAATCGCAAACTAATATGAAATGCAGGTGCTGTAATTTTGATAAAGCAAATGTAGCAGTTTGGCACTAATGAGAAAAAAATTAAATCATTGTTGTAACAAAGGTAGACTGAAGAAAACAGGAGTAAAATTAAGGTCTTACTACCCTTAGCAATGACTATAATAACACTTAGATGCAAACAAAATTTTGCAATAATGTGATGATTGTGATTTTTACGGAAAACCAACATTAATCATTTAGTCACTGCAAATTCACTGCACTGAAAATGTTTAAACTAGACAATCAGATGTCACAGTTATTTTTTAAATTCTAAATCTAAAGAACAGTTTTGTAATGACTTAGCAGCAGTACTGTACGATATACAGCACGATAGATTTTTCAGCCTGATAAAATGCTTTGCTTTGTTCTAGTGACACAACACAGCAAAATTTGACATTCTCAGCTGTTGCTTAAAGAAGAATCTACTGCAGTTCTTCGTGCCATTTCAATTTGCTTTAGCGGACTCTTCCATTGTGAAAAAATTAAAATAAAAAATAAAAAAATAAAACAGTCACTCTTTGGTCCCCCATCAATCCATTTTCACTTTTCCGAGTTGCTGCTTCTTTTCCATATTTTTTACTTAAAAAAAAATCCCCTTCATGTTTTATTCATGATCCTCTTAGTGCACGTTTCATCCCTCATGCTGTAATTCCTGGTGTCCTGATCCTTCTTTCCCATTGTGGCGTCCTTCCCCACATGCCAGCTGAACACCTTCTGGTTTCCTCGTTTTTGTGCAAAGGCTGATCTTCACACATTTAATTGCCAGACTTGCAACTGACAGTAAATACCTGAAAGTACAGGAAAAGAAGTCTGAATACCAACTAACATTTTTAAAAAGCCACAAATGTTTCAGTCAGCCTCCATTTGCTTTTTTCCCCCCAAAGGTTTTCAATACATGCATGCAGAACTGATATATGAAAATGCATGCATATATTGAGAAATAAATGTATACACACACATACATGTACACACACACACACACACATAGGTTTTTAAATTTTTGTATGTACTGATTGTTCTGCCTCTAAACCTTGAAACTAAACTGGGATACTGAAAAATCACACATGCAACTCTGAATAACAAGGAACAATCCACAGAGACAAAAAGAAATATCTAGATAAAAAGACTAATACTATGTTAAAATATATTTATATTTTCTCCTGGTTAAACATGCCAGCATTTAATGGGTATTATTTAGATGGATCTTCATAACCACATTGTTACCAGCTTTTACAGGAATGGCACATCTGGCTGGGGCCCCACAGAACTGAGTTCTTTTCCTTTTTTATTTTTTTTTTTCAGGGGGAGGGAAACTCTAGCACTGTTCAGTTGGGGCCCTGTATCGGGAAGGTAGGCTGCGGACTGTTAAACTTTCCTCTGAAAAAAAAACCGAAAACCAACGCTGAACTTATTGTAATTGTGAAACAAAGTTTTCTTGCTAGTTCTGCATTCGATACAGCAAAGAGGATGAAAGGGAAAGCTTCAGATATTGCCTCCTGCCCTTTATATACTTCTTACTCTTTACCTAAAAGAAAAAGAAAATCGATAAAATGAATGAGCAGTTTGTCCTAAACGCACAACTGATCCAAATGTCATTCGTACAAGATGGAAAGAATGCTTGCAGGCCCTATAGTTTAATGGTGAAGGAAACTTCTCAGAACTGAATAACAGTGTGGTCTCTGTGCCTAAATTAACAACATATGGCAATTCCCTTTCACAGGTCCAGCACTGCAGTGCGCAGACAGTGGGCTTCTGAGCAGTGAAGGGGTGTAATCTGATCAGATGAGTCATCCTTCACCATGACCCTCACAATCTACGTGCTGCTGTGTCACATCTTGTTCTTGCCATTCCTGCTGAACATGGTGGTCCAACGGAAAAATATCTTCCCACTCTTAGGTTCAGCATCTGTACTGTAGAGTGCGTAGTACTTTTTTTTTTATAGGTAAGAGGAAATTACACCGTTATTTTCTCTAACTACAGGAAAGCGTGCATTCGATTTCATGTGTCCGGTTACTTTCTGGTAGTCCCAGAATGCTTAGTACTGCTTAGAAATAAACAACAAGGTCTAATTTCTGTTTGTAAAATAAACTTGTTCAAATTCTTAGTAAAGTAACAGTAGTACCTCTGTTGAGATAAGTAATGTATGCATAAAGCCATATACTAATTCATATCACTAATGGAGTATTAATTTTCTCTTCAGTATATGGGTATAGTGAAGAAAGTAACTCACATCAGACTAACGAACTTCGTTATATGTAAACTTTCCTAACTATTCCTTGATGAAGGTTTTTGATTAAAATAAGACGATAATAAAAATTAATTTATAGTGCCAAAAACAATGAAAAAATGTCCTGACACTTTCATTAATTAATAAAAAATGAGACAAAATGTCAGGCAGAGATGAATTTGATTCTGACTCTAGTATCTTTAGTTAGCGCTGATTGTAGTTGTGAATGACTGGATAATGTTGATCTAACCGACAAGTGTGTAATCCATGCAGTACTGTCTCTAGGTCTGTCTGTAAACTCTTTGTCTCTGCTAGGATTGGGCTAATTTTATCATGGGGGATCATATACCGTTGTGTAGTCTCTGGACAGTATGACAACATGAAAAAATCGATACTGTCCAAGTCTAGTCTGTGCCACAGTCAGTTTTAGGTAAGAAAAAACATACTGACATATGGATAAATTTCACAATTGATGCAAAAGAAAACAAAACTGCAAGCTGTGTGGAGCAGCACTAATGGAGAGAAACACCACAAAGTTGAAGCGCAATGAAATGAATAGAAGCAAATATTTGATTTTTCTTTTAATGTGTCTGAAAAGTTCACCATCGCAAACTAAACTAATCTACTTGGTTTATGGCTATGCATTGCTGTTTTTTCTTATAATATGAATATAGACGCATCATATGCAAGTATTTCGGTTGCGACTATATTTTGGTTTCATTTATATTTTATTTAATAATAAATAAGGTTCATATAAAGCCATTTGTGAATTAGTGCAATGTTTTGTATTGTGACCTTTTTAAATCTGTGTCCTTCAAGACGTGAATGTGAAGGACTAACAGCATTCCTTAATAAGAGCTTTACGTGTTTCCTTCAGGAATCTACAGCATATAGAGGTAGATCTATCATTCATTCATTCAGTCATTCATTCAGTGGTGTGTCTGTTTATGTATATAGTGTATGCATATAGTGTATATGTGTGTGTGTGTGTGTCTGTTTGTGTTTTGGTGGGTCCAGACAATAAGGTGTGGGTATATATATGTATATAGTGTATGCAGACACGCAGACACACACACACACACACACACACACTATATGCATACACTATATACATATATATACACCCACACTTTATTGTCCGAACCCATCACAACACAAGCAGACACACCACACACACACACACACACACACACAAATCAGTGACAAATGTTAGTGAAATTTTCAAGGAAATGTGAAAATGATATATTAGACTAAACCTGTTAGTTTCATTGACAGCCATGTACTGTGCATTGAATCAAATAAAAATCCTGTAATTTTTGCAGACTTAAAAAAAATCAGATAACTAAAATGAAAACAAAATTGGACTTTCACCAAAAGAATAAGGCCCTATTTTGATGATTTAAAGTGCTCGGTCTGACGTGCACGGTGCAAGCTCTTTTAGGGTGTAACCAACCCACTTTTGCTAGTTTAACACTGAAAAGTGCAAAAGTGTTGTACTTAGTCTCGTAATTAGTCATGGGAGTGTTTGGGGCATAATAGGCTATAAACCACTCAGACTGTCATCTCCCACTCCCTATAAAAGTCAGGTGTGCTTGCACCTTGGCGGATTGCTATTGTAATGGCAGGTTTGTCTGGGAGTAGAATGAACACTTCTTGGAAGAGCAACACGAATCTGCTAGTGTGGGAAATGAAGCTGCGCGAGCAGATCATCTACAGGAACAGCAGGATAACAGCAAAGCTTCATGCGTCCCTCATAGGAACAATGAAAAATCACAGGCTCCTGTCACACATTTTACAAAAAAATATTGTACCATGTACCTGTACAAAAACTGTAAAGAGAACATTTTATTTGTTTAAAAATATCTATTTATCTAGATATTGTTTGGTGTGTGGTTTAAAAATTATAAAGTTTCTGGAATTAGCTAATTCTGATCAATTTTATGACTAACCATTTATGACTTATTTCTTAATAATATATCGAAGAGGGGGCCAATGATCTTTCACACTGTAATCTTCTTATTTTTTAATCTTTTGCAGGTTTGTGTGCTCCTGCACATCCGTCTGCGTGTAACAAGCAGTCCACACGCCTATGTAGCCGCATGTTACCATCTTGATGACACAACCCTATAAATAACAGCGCGATACTGTGCCATTTACTTCAGATCAGGTTTCTGTTAGTCAGCAATCGCTTTCTGCTGCCTCAAGGTAGCAATTCTCCAACAATGCACCTGACTCCGCCTTATTTTAAGAGCGACACGCCCACAGACACTCAGATGGGCAAAAGTTCATTTGCTATTTAAACGATGATATTTTCCCGTCCAGCGCCCACATCTTGTGTTGCACCTGCTGCTGTTTTGCGCTGAATGCAAAATATGGCCCTAAAACTATAAATATTTAAAATATTACGTAAAAATTAACGCTGGAATATGGGATTTGATTTATCAGTGGAAACAAAGTATTCATGTATATATTACTGAAAGCTGCCGCTAGCGGTATTATCCCCCCCCCAATTAAGCGGCACAATCCCTAATTTAAAACAACTGGGCCATGCCTTAAAAACTTAAGTACTTGGCACTGCGCTATTACTATTTTTGGTAATACATGCATTTACTCACTACAACAATATTAGACGCTTCAATTGCACTTGTAATTGACAGAGATTTTGTGGACAAAATAACACAAAAGCTTAAAACATTTACTTATTTATCTGATGCTTTTACTCAAAGTGATGTACACTTAAGTAAACAGGATCATCCAGTATCCTTGGGGTTAAGGGCCTTGATTAAGGCTCCGACGATTTGAACTGGCAACCTTCCAGTTAAGAGCCCAGACAGCCTAAACCAGAGACTCACGCAATTCCCAAAACATGCAAAAAAAATCCAAATGACTGCGAAGCAGGGGCATGTCACATAGGGTTCCAAACTAATATGCTGATATGAGGCAGGGGAGGTAGAAAATTCTTGGCAAGCCTGGCTACCTGTAATTGTGGGCATCATGGCTGCAAAGGAAGACCTGAGTGACTTTGAAAGAGTCATGCCTGGTGAGAGCTTCAGTAACCATGACAGCTGGAGGATCATGATGCCAGAGCAAATGGAAGTGCAGGGGGAAAAAAAAAAGAGTCTCAGATCGCAAATTTCAACCTTGAGCCTGTTTAATAAAATTACCTTCAGTTCCTGGCATGCAATTGCGGGTTTGTTGGCATACAATCCATCCCCTACGTTCATGCAGAGCCATTCATATTTGGAAATAAGTACAGAATATACACTATTACTCATTAAATAAAAAAAATCAATTAAATAAATTTACAATTTCTGTTTTTTTTTCTAGGCTACTGTAACAATCATACAGAGTACAAGGCCAACAGTACAATTAAAATTAAAGCGTACAGGAAGACTCAATGGTGTTATATTGGTTGAATTTATTCAGTAATAAATAGCTGCTTAAACCGTAGGTCAGATTGTCCCTAGTGGCAAACGCACAGAACTCTATGGTCCTGAGTAGGGTAAGAACAAAAAAATTATGCAACATCATTCCGTTATTCTGCTCTGCCGTTTCCAATGA